ATGACACACTCGAAGCGAATCAAAATCATAACAACTATACTTCATGGATTGTGCCTTTTGAACGGTAATGTATTTGGTGGCCTTGTTTATTTCCCCCTTAGATTCTTTTTCCCTTATTTGTATTTCGCATGCGCTTTTGTGTAATTATTTTGAAGTGCCGTATCTTTTTAAGGCAAAATAATGTCAACTGTTTCACAGGGATTGGCATATAAACAACTGGGAAGGGGAGGGTTTCCGAAGTATCGCTTACTATTCGTCTGAATCAAAGTGTAATGTGTGAAATGAAATTCAGTCAGAGTCTGAGGAATCAGCCTGCGCAGAACTAGACGTTTTTACGACCGTAGTATGACTACCTATTACTATTTTCGAAAGTCTGAATGGTTTATATAACAACCTGTCACATTTTTTACCGCAATTAGATGTGACGCAGTGGGATGTCCACGGTTTTTTGCGTCAGCTGAGACGCACCCTCGAACGCCGCAAGGCCAAGTCTCCCGTCGCTGTTACTGAATCGCCTACCCTGAGCGATGCTGAGTGGAACTGGCTCACCGAAAAGCTCACTGGAAAGTCAGTTCTACAAGCCTTCAATCTGCACGATGTTATAGCGAGCGCTCTAGAGACTTGCCGCGGCAAGATGGGTACTTTGCCGTACGCGGATTGGCCATGTTGCGATGACGCCCTAGACGAAGTAGACTCTACTATAAACTACCTGAGTGAAGCTCAAAAGTCTACACAGTCCCAGGATATTACAAACCTACTGACGATTCTGCAAAACCCCAAGTTTCGGGTATGATGCATTCAAATAGCTGTTTTGTCTTTCTCGCGCAGTTTGCCTCGCTCCTTTTTTACCTATTTTTTAAACAGCATTTCGACGCAGCTCTTAGCGTGCATATATCTTAGGTGCATGTGGAGGCAATTCAGTATATCCACGGATTGAAGTGTATCTGCATTTTGATCCTGCACTCTTCGCATCTTTTTTGCACAAATGCTATTTATGCTTACAGCTACTGGCAATTTTCGAAATTTTGCATTTTTGACTGGAGTGACGTCAAACCCAAACAAAAATCGACGGTAGACACTAGGTAAACTATGCTTCTCGACTTTTGCCAATCCTGGGTTTGGTGGTAATTACCGATTTACGATGCAGAAAAGTACCTTTCTGCATACTGCAGTCGTGTATTCTCGCGACCATTTGGCTTGCGGTGGCTGTTTAGTTGCGAGACACCATTGGGTGAAATCCTGACAACACATTAGCTTCGCTGCGCAGGATGAAATGCCGAGGAGTACAACAGATAGAGAGACTGGACTACTTACTCTGGTCAACCGACCATGCCACAACGTTAAATATGAAAAGCGGACAGTAATTTCATTATTACCCCTTAAACAGACTGTTATATCTCATGAGTTATGGCTTCACTAACTGGCGGCTGAGATTAGAGAATGGTGTTAACAGACCAGTTACGGTTGCAGCCGGGTATTTGGCTCACCTCCACCCGGAATTACCATCAGCCGAGCCATGGGTTTGCTCACGTAGGGCTTAATAAATGGCTGATAAATCGATCCGTCTATTGATCGATTCCGCCGTCCAGTTTCACCAACGTAATTGGCTGGACCAAAATTGAATTTTTATTTGGCAAATGACACCAGGCTTCTGAGTAACGGGAATGTGGTCCTTAGAGTGCATGAGTTGCCGGAGGATTATGGTTTCTGTTCTGTACGCTATACTAATCCCAACTTTGCTCAGCAGTCTCGCAATCTCCTCGGACACATCAGTAATATAAGGCACCACGCGTTAGTATTTCAGCTTCGACTGTCACCTGGGGTTTCTTCCTTCTGCCTTACCGCCTAATTTTTTTCGACAAAACTGCTAGATTCGCCGTTATCAGTGTGTTTTATTTTCATACAACTGCCGACCAACATTGCTGACAAAGACAAGGGAGACTTCAATAACCGTTTCTGACTTATTGGTCGCCGGAAGTCAGCCGTAACGCGATCGCAGTCGATAGGACAAGAAGTCCTGGCTTTAATGGATAAGGCGTTAGACTTATTACTAACAGGTCGTAAGTTCGAGCCTCTGGTTTGTGAACGGCTGGCTGGTCACTGTCCACCGATCTGTACTGAACTTGCTCGTTCCGTTTTGCCTTGGGGTTCACCCTCGAGCCCCACTTGCAGCCACTCGATGGCTAGCATATTTAAGACAAAAATACATTACCGACACAGTCTAAGAAAACTGGAATGGTCATTTTTGGCTTATTAGCCGTCATCAGTCAACCATAACCAACCCTAAGGTATTTCTTCCTATATAAACTACGTATATCAGCGAGCCAATGTGACCTGTTTCAGTCAATCAACTGACTGAGACCATAAAACGGCTCACATTGCAGTGTTCGTTCGCGGAGAGGCATTTTGTCGGGCTAACAATGATGCGTAGTGGCAGTACAGATTGATTAGTAATCTAGCTTACTGATCACCCACAAGGCTACTACCCACGAGGTTTGCGACGACAAACGACCAGCTTACGCACGTGTTTCTTAGTCCTATTGCCACACTAAAAGTGTGAAAACAACCACAGGCCCGTTTGATTGCGTTTGACGCTTCCACTTCTTCTGACAGCGCTGGCGAAGGTTGCCTTGTTTTGATAGATGGATGGATGTTTACCGATCGATTACGGAACGCGTCCCGTTCTGCCTTGAGGTTTACTCTGAAACTCCGTCAGCAGCCACATGGTGGCCAATATTTTAGGCTGAATAATATCATCGACAAAGACTAAGGTGACTGGAATAACCATTTCTGGTTTATAAGCCGTCATCGGTCGTCCATAACCAACCCAAAGCAAACCTCATCCTTCCAACCTGAGCTAGAAAATGTCGTCTAAAAGTCACCTTGCCGCTTAAGCAACAACTGCCGCAATATTCGATAGACTTCGGGCATTGCGCTTTTTTATTTTTCTATCAAAGCCGCATTTTTGTGGTCCAATCAGATAGGACGGAAAATCGATAATTATTGACGCGTTGTCAAGC